GTTATCGAAGAAAGACTTTCGTTTGTCAGTATCCGTATAAAACACTGAGTAGCATAAGAAGGCAAATGATCGCTATGACATCAACTCAAGCAATATGAGTTTATTACTTTTCGAATCGAGTCTTGCCTATACCAGAAGAGCACATATCAGACGAAATATTATAAAAAATCATATTAGGATATGTGCCGCCAAACATATTCCAATTGTTGTTATGATACATATCTCAGATATAGAGTTACTGTTCAGGCAGTCAAACAAGTGAGTGGCATAACTATGTGTAAATTTGCAAAAAAGATTACTCGTATAGACGTTTGGGGCAGAAAAATGATGATTGACGTTGATATTCCACGCTCTAACCCCCTTGGCAATTTCTACAGCTCCCCTACAATGGACAGTCAAGACTCGTCTTGTTTATTTGCCCTTCAGTTGGAATGAAAAAATAAGGATGGCTCATGCACCTAGACAGTGCCACATTAATAATGCAACTGATCAGCTTTCTCGCCTTAAGTCGCTGTAACATTTGATGCATTCAGATGTCTGGTGACGTCCTTCAAAGCTCTTTTAAAACTCACATTGCAGTCAGTGATTATGTGACAATATGGGGTTTCCGCCAAATGAATTAACGTTGAGCAATGAATGTAATTTGGTATACCTTACATGTAGTGAACGATATTCTTACATAGGTACTCTGATCACCGCTCCCGTTGTATCGTAGCGGAAGTGGTACGATTCTCTGTCTGCGTTAAATGCTGATACTTGTTGTTTCATTGCCTGGCGCTTAGTATTAAGGGGATAAGACAAGGGCTGGTCTCCTCGCAAACGCTGGACGATATCTGAATGGGGAATCCATGTTTACCTGAGCCAGTACTATCAAATAATTCTGAAATGAGAAAGCAGCCTCACACGTGAATTTACGTCTCTATGTACGCGAATTACGTTTGAACGCACCGAAACTGAATACATTACTTCATGGAAGTAAGTGACTTAATACCCGTTTATACATGCAATTAACAACACTCATTTTGGTAGACATTTTTGCCGTTGTAATTAGTGAGGTCTTTTAGTAATTTCGACCAAGTCCACAAGCGTAGAAAATATAACCCGCCCTTACCATGATGCTAAGCTCTTGAGGCGATGTGCTTAGATATCCATAACGTGATTTTCAAGAACATCAACTTAGGCTGCAGGTATATCGATACTTATATATAATTTAATATTCATTGAATAGGAAATTCCATTCAACCGATTTGCCCAAATGAGAAGTAGGAGACGAGTGAGGCCGCCTCCACTGTTTCATATTTAGATCTGCGCATATAGATCCAGAACGACAAAAGTCCCCTACAAGGCTGCATGAAAAGAGAAGGGAGATGACTTTAAATTTCGAATAGTCAATTTTCCCTTTACGTTGTACAATATTCTCGCCTTAGGTGTCTACGTTTCAAAACGTTTCAAAAGATTTCAAACGCGTTAAACGACTCTTGCTCGAAAGCCTTTTAGATCATGTTCACAACATAAGGCCCGAGTAAAGCTTTCAAAACTTTTAGTGAGACATGACAGGACATTTCGATATTTGCTGCACAAGGATCAGAATTATGTCCGATGCAGTTCCCTATTTTTCACTTGTACCATATGTGCCCGGGTATCTGTTACAGGTGAACACTTGACTTGCCATTGCATGAGTTTGTGACGGGTTCTACCTGTGGCACCACGACTACCTGGTATAATCACTATTTAATTGTGATTGTGATTCTGTGACACATGCTCATTAAACAGTCAGAAAAACACAATCTGCTCTGCTTTTAGTACAGATTTGTCATGAATATAGAAAAGGGTTGTTGTTGTTAGCATTATAAACTAGCGAGCAAAAAATAGTATAACACCTAATAATGTCACACAAACGAATACCAACGAGAGTTGTAATACAATGTATATACAATTATTTGCCTATCTACTGTAGTGACAACTGATGTATGTATCAATTAGAAAGTTGAAATGGACGATAATTAAAGCAAAGTCTAAAAACACATTTTTGCACGTGAAGCTCCAAAACGTTGGGTCTTTCCTGTCCTCGCTTGCCGTCAATGTGTCCGGAAAACATACAGCTAAGAAAAACACACGTTTAAAATGGCCTGGTAAACAAAGCAACAACGCGATTGCAAGAACGTTTAATTGCACGACTACAACCACCAATAAGTTGTTTCCACGAATGATGCAGACTGGCAGTACCAAGGTCGGGTAGGCCACGTGTCACGACACCTCGAGAAGACCGACATCTGCGTACTCTCCGTCTGCGTAATCGTTCCCTACATGTGACGTCATCGGCAATAACGCCTGAATCATCGTGTCAGCAGATGGACTGTGTCCAGACGACTACGTGGTCGAGGGATCAGATGTCAGCGACCACTACGTGGCGTCCAGTTGACTCCTCAACCTGTTGTTTTGGAAACTCGTGATGTCTTACACTTGACTTTGTTTTGTTTACAATGTTACTTCAACAATGAACTCCATTTATCGTGATAGTCATGATTCGTACCAATCTATTAAACTTTACTTCACTCAAATACGGTTTGCAGTTTCGATTTTCTGTCGGTTCAAAATGGGTGTTATACTTTCTTTCGCTCGCTAGTTTAGGAATGACACCTGAAGTTCGCGAACGGGAGTCATGTCCTGCTTTAGTCATACAGACGTCCACTGCCTCCGGTTAACGTGCATCACACAGACATCCATTGAACAATGCACGTCCCATAGGCGTCCAGTGTCACCAGCCAATGAACGACACACACGCGTCCTCTGTCGCCGATCAATGTACGTCACACCGGCGTCCACAGTCGCCGGCCAACAAACGGCACATAGGTGACCTCTGTCGCCGATCATTGTATGTCAAACCGGCGTCCATAGTCGCCGGCCAACAAACGGCACACAGGTGACCTCTGCCGCCGATCATTGTACGTCACACCGACGTCTACACTCGCCGGCCAACAAACGGCACACAGGCGACCTCTCCCGCCGATCATTGTACGTCACAACGACGTCCACAGTCGCCGGCCAACAAACGGCACACAGGTGACCTCAATCGCCGATCATTGTACGTCACACCGGCGTCCACAGTCGCCGGCCAACAAACGGCACACAGGCGACCTCAATCGCCGATCATTGTACGTCACACCGGCGTCCACAGTCGCCGGCCAACAAACGGCACACAGGCGACCTCTGTCGCCGATCATTGTACGTCACACCGGCGTCCACAGTCGCCGGCCAACAAACGGCACACAGGTGACCTCTGCCGCCGATCATTGTACGTCACATAAGAATCTACTGTCACAGGTGTATATATCTAACATACTTGTCCAACGTTTACTTAGTTGGAAAAAGGGTAAGTTTAATAGTGATTTTCAACGAAGTGGATTATCAATGTAGTTCATATGCGCGCACGCGCGCGCGCACGCACGCACACACACACACACACACATTTTCGTAGTTTTGTTTGTTACTGTTTTCCGACGACCTAACTATAATCATTTGCATCAATAAACAAGGGCTATCGGATTTTGTAACGGATGGGACTGATTCTACGTAGGTAGTGCGGGAATGTCACATCACAGGTTATTTCAAATAAAATACTATCATACGTATTTTAAACTTGTGAAGTTAAGTAACCCGAGTTTGACTAAAGCACAGAAGACATACTAACCGTAAAATGTAAAAACAACTTTTGTTATTTATCATTTTTCATCCCAATCCTTATTATTATTATTATAAGTTCACACTTCTGTTCTATGAATTCCGTTCTATGTTTTTCTATTCCGATATAATCTCGCTAGTCTTGCATTACGATTTTAATGCATAGAATGAGAAGTTTAATGCATTTATTCTTCATATTTAATGTTGGTATATTGTCCTCATGTAGGAAACATGTAGAGCGACATATCTTCATAATCAAGTTCCGGACAAAGTGCTGATCATTTACCATTCATCCTAGATCTTAGGTAAATCATCTCGCACTGCCTAAACATAAAATTAAATATTGATTCGGCTTATAATCACTGAATTGAAAATTATTAATAAATCACATTACCTCGTGTATATTCCAGGGATTAGATATTCAATTCTTTATTACGGAAACAGTGTAGGAAATCGGCCCATGAATAAAACACAATAATCAATTGTTAAGACATGTTAGCATTGCATATATAATGATGATTTGATATATTTATGTATAAAGTATTTTAACTATCAATACTTAGTAGAGATACTTTCCTTAGCAGCATAGTCTTATAGATAAATAAGTTTCTTAAAAATTCACAATTAGAAGGTGGCATTACGATATTGAACTAAGACCTGGTTGGAAATCACATATATATAAACGATCAATGCTACAGTTAACGACCGAGGACGCCTGTGTCAATGCGCACGCTCCCGTTAGGATGTATATTAGATTTTAATGAAGCAAAAACGCCCGACACGTGTTAAGTCTCGCTACAAAAGTCAGTGAAATCTTATGCGATGACACCACAGGCAATACGGCAAGATTTACTTGACTTCATCAAGCATGTTTAAGGGTGAAACTTCAGAAAATGATTACAACATTTCCCAGCTAATCTTGTTTTCCGATACCTGCCTGATGGCAAATGTCGGATTGAGAGAGTTTTATTTTGATGAATTGACTGACCATACTTTAAAATGATGTGAAATGAGCTCCAATTGACGCCATCAACGTTACTGCAACTGGTTAACCGTGCTGAAATACATTACCGAGAAAGGTATTTATTTCTTTTTTCTTTTCTGTGCATTCATTTTAGAAACGTTGAATATTTCCTTCATGAGTTATGTCTATCGTACGTGAGTTACGAAAAACAATTTCTTTATTATATATTGCATTATTGTTTCCGGGGAAACCATGTCTGAATGCTAGAAACAGTGGCTGGAATAAGAACACCAGAGAACTAGGACAACATAATAGTGACTGATGAATAAGACAGTTTGACTAGAGACGCCCTCACCTGTAGTTGGTTAGCCGGACCAGGGTCCGAACCTCCGGCGAAATACGTTCTTGTATGGGTCCCTTTTGCCTGCCCACACACTAAACTTTCTCTTTTCCATCACCTTGGCTAGAGCTCGAGACAGGTACCAGTCCAACAGTTTTAGGTTTAGCCGAGCTTCAGTTAATGATCGCTTCCCAGCCCAAGAGCTGAAGGCAGCCCTCTTGTCGGAGTCGAACTCTTCTGTGGCTTCAATCTCAGAATCTCCACTGTCCCTCTTTCCTGCCCATGAGGAGAACGCCGCCCTTTTATCACCAGATAACTCTTGGTCGTCCGACGTACTCCTCTTACCTGCCCAAGCATTAAAAGCTGCCCTTTTACCTTCGGGAAAACTCCCTTCGAAATCTCTCTTCCCTGCCCAAACGCTAAAGGGTGCCCTCTTATCTTGTGAAAGTTCATCCCCTGTGCCCCTCTTCCCGGCCCAGGCACTAAAAGCAGCTCTTTTGTCAAGTTCATCCCCTAAGCTTCTCTTGCCAGCCCAGGCGCTGAAGGCCGCACGCTTATCACCTTCGTTATAGTCTCTTTTCCCGGCCCAAGCGCTAAACGCCGGCCTCTTTTCTTTAGAATCACTTTCAGGAAAGTTTTCAAGAAAGTCTCTTTTTCCGGCCCAAGCACTAAATGCTGCTCGCTTGTCACTCACTGCCGATAAGTCCTCGTTTTCTCCTGATCCTAGACCTGTGATGCCTGCTTCTAAACTGTGGGCTACACTGGCCCAAGCTGTGATTACAAGTACCCATGCGAAACCTACCTTGGGCCGGGCGGAGGGAGGCTTCCAGCTCACCATCGTGCACCTAATGGAGAAGACCTGCCCAACTTGGGACTAAATAGTCTCTTGCCTTGTGGGAGGATGAAGGCAGATCACGTGACGTGCCTTTGAATGCTATGCAAATAACGCTTTGAGGTCTGTGTTGGCCGCCGACCAATACACATGTGTGTAGTGCAACTGAAAGGTAGGCAAAGTGTTCAATAGTGTTAGCGCGTAGCCAGTGCTTGGCAGGTACACGGAGAGAGGACGGCTCGCTCTCTACGAGGACACTCGCAGGAAAGATTGATTAGCAGAAAATGCCATTCTCCTACAGATACAGTTCCATCACCGGCAGTGCGCGCATCCTCCCTTATATCTGAAACTTAACCCACACCCGTGGAAAAGCTAATGGCACGTAAAGTTTGCCGTGTCTTGATTTCCCCGCTAATTCAAGTACTTGACCATTACTGACGTGATCAAGTCGCTGAATACATAGTTTTGAATATTGAAAATATCATAGCCTTTTCAGAACATAATGGATTTTATTCATCAAATATCAAATTCTGGGATTCTTATGACATTTGTCAACATGGCAAAGGGTTTGTTTTACATGATGAATTATCCAAATTAATTCGGGACATATTGCGAAATGCGTGCGAGTGGCAGATAGTCAGTGATTCCGCCATCCCACCGCCACATAGGACTGTGTGACGTTTCTGGGCACGACTTCTGCAGCACTACAGCACCCGAGTGTTCGGACAAATCATTTACAGAAGATTTCGTCATTGTGTTTTCTTCACAGTTGTTAATACATTTACAGAAACGTCAGGCTAGTTTTACTTCTGCTTTGCTATACATATTGCAACACTCTCCCACTTCTAGTTGATAAGAGAGATATACTGTGTGGGGAATATATGCTATGTTTGTTTACAGTACCGTTATACTTAAGAGTTCAGGCAGTGGAACACATGACAACACATTGCAGTAGAGATGCTAAACGCATGGGAATAGAGCTCTCTAACACTCGGCAAAGGAGCTGAGAAATAGTGATGCGATACACACGATAATTGAGCTGAAAACACATGACAATGGGGTTGTCAAACACATGGCAATAGAGATGCTATACACATGGCAATAGAGCTGCCGAACAAATGGCAGTGGGGCTGGACAACAGAGCTGAAGGATACATGGCAATAGAGCTGAAGGACACATGGCAATAAAGCTGAAGGAAACTTGGCAATAGAGTCGAAGGACACTTGGCAATAGAGCTGAAGGACTCATGGCAATAGAGGTGGAGGGCACATGACAATAGAGCTGAATAACACATGACAATAGAGCTGAAGGACACATGGCAATAGAGCTGAATGACGCATGGCAATAGAGCTGAAGGACACTTGGCAATAGAGCTGAAGGACTCATGGCAATAGAGGTGGAGGGCACATGACAATAGAGCTGAATAACACATGACAATAGAGCTGAAGGACACATGGCAATAGAGCTGAATGACGCATGGCAATAGAGCTGAAGGACACATGGCAATAGAGCTGAATGACGCATGGCAATATAGGTGAAGGGCACATGGTAACAGTGCTATGAAACGCTTGGCAACATAGTTGGTTAACATCTGGCAGTAGTGTTTCTGTTTACGACTTGCGGTTATGAGTGACGTCCTCCTGAAGATGGGCAACCCATGGCCTAGTTCATGAACATGACAATGATAAATACTATTTTGTTTAATTTCAGGTTTATAAGCTTCTCTCTCCATATGATCACTAAGAGTTGTAGTTACACAAGAAGAAAGTAGCACTCAATGGTTTACAGGAAAGGGGTTGTGTGAGACGATTGTATTTTCTGGAGATTCTACGTAAAAGAACCATGTTGAAACATTACATGCCCAAGACGAAAATTGGATATGAATTTGATTTGAATTGTCAACAAAAGGGGTAAACTGCCTTCTGGCTTTTTAGAACGTGATAATAGTATAATTTCACGGAATTAGAGAATTGCTTATTTCTTGTGATGACGATGATAACGATGACGGAATGTGTTTATGTTCGAAGTTAACATAACGAGCACTGCAGTCTCATAGGACATGTCTTGTGAAATCAAATACTAATGAACCTGAGGAATCCAGACATTCTACATATGTACTGTAGATCAGATGAACAGTTTCTTCGTATCCGGAAAGATTATGGATTAATCAAATTGTGACATTTCTTAATAATTGATTTAAATATTTGACATTTATTGAAGAAGAGCTGCAGTATTATATAATGCTCATCAAAGATATAGAATTTCTTAGACTCAACTTGAATAAATCCTAAACTGGTTTTGATATTTTGACGTGAAATGCCGTCGCTGCAAATCTTTCCCTGATTGAATGTATAACTGTGAAAACTGTCTGATGCTATATTCAGTATCCATGTTGGCATTAGGTGTCACAACACAATCCCAGAAACGTGTGTGTCGATAGAGCGACTTAATGAACTGACAGGTGAACATTACTTAAACACCACCTGAAACCAAAGGGTTTTTGCTAAAAAAAGATGTTGGTCTAAAAATGCACATATAAAGCTCGGGCTCCACATAATATCTCTAAAGTTATTGGTCGCATGTTTACGTGCTGCGACGGCGCGACGTACACTTGGGTCTAAATGTTCATAATTGCAGAATGTGAACTAAAGTTTTCTGAACAGATATAAAAGTTGAACAAGGAGATAGTTCTATGGATAAACAACTTCTTATTACAACGTTTCGGTGTAGATGCTAACCTCGTTAAGCCATATGCTAAAAGGTGTAAATTTCCACAGAAATCAATGCGTTTTGGACATAAAATAAAGTAAAATGTAAAAATATAATCCGCCCGCCCGATCCATATTTCTTTGAAAAAGTGATCAGAAACAAGAACATTTTTTATGTGGCCTTACAAGAAAATACGCCGATTTGTGAGGAAGTATGTCCCGACCGGGTAAGTAATGGGTTGTCCAAGACCTGGATGACTGGGAAAGACCAATGAAAATGATTACCGTCTCCTAATTCGTCTGGACTATGCCGAAAAGCTGCGCTGGTAATGGCGGGTGGGAGTCTGACTCTCCACTAGTACCATCAGAAGGAGGCTGCTGATCTGAGGAAATGGCGTCCGATCAGGCGTCCTTCCTTCACACATAGGTACAAGCAGGGACGTCCGGCGTGGTGCAGACTCTGAGAAAACCGAAACTTAGGCGTAGTAATACTTGGTCGTAACGTCGCAGTGAGGCATATCACCAGTGGTGCGTTGCAAGCCGTGATTCGCTTAGAGTAAGCAAACAAATTGCTTATCCCGGACTTGCAACAGCTCGAAACGCTTGTCCACTCTTCCAAAATGGCGATTACCGTTTGCTCGCCTTGATTAATAAAGAACGTAATAGAGAGCCTCGATGACGAGCTGACGAATTTATGACTACTGAAGACTACTTTGAATGTGTGGAACAAACTGAGGATGCTAGGATGTCAGCTGCCTCTGCCCATTTCCGAGCTGATCCAGTCAAACATTTCTTGTTTCAGCTGTCGAATTCAAATTTCCCTCAGCCATCATTTTTTGTTTGAGGACCAAGCGTCCCCAGTCAGCGATTGGTGCGTCTGCAAGCGGCTGAAAGTTAGCGCTCGGTTGTAAAATGAATCGTGGTAAATGGATTGCACCCAAGGGCGTGATCTGTGCAGCTGAACCCTGGTGACTCAGTTGTGTTTCGTATAACTGTAAGTCTGATCTCATTACAGCACCTGGGACACTCAGTGATCAACCTTATAAACATGAAGTACTGATGCAGCCGTCGTGCCACAGTTTGATAACCATTCCCTTTTCAGCCGTCCGATATTCATGGATGACAACGCTGGACTTTGGTGGTTCATACAATCACAACAATAATAGTTCGAGAACTGTGGAACAGTCAGATTGGTAGTGTAGTCATGGTGACCATATTTTCCGGCATTGAATATAATCACGTTTTTGTGTGTTCCTCGCAGACTGCTAGTAAATTGTTACCGAATTTCAATTTCAGTTGGTATTTTGTTTTTTTAAATCAGAGTGAAATATGTTACAGTTACCCTTTTCGATACGCGGACTCAAGGCATGTATTATAACATGTAGTGTTTTCGTACTCGTATGCGTTAATCAGACTTAACTTTTTACAAGTCGACATTATACAGCTCTAATATGACTGAATGCTGCATTAAACAACAACCGAATTCTTTCAAGTACGACTACATGAAGTAAACCACCTTCAATACACGTTTAGAATACCGTTGTTGTTGTTTTTTTGTAAGACGGGAAACGCATGAAAGCAAAGTGGATATGGAAGTTTGTAATTCTCATTCGATCAGTCACTCTGCAGTATCAAGTTACAATGTAAATGTGGAACAGGTTCACTTTTGAAGACCGTAACACGACATCAGACCTCTACTCAAGGAACCCCGACCCTTTAATCTTCCCTCTCAATTCCCTCATCGCTGACTCGTGATGCTAATTGTGTGCTGTTTGGTCTCAACAATCTCCCAGTCAGTTCCTTATGCATCAGGGCACATGTTCAACCAAGCAAGCATACCGCCTCCTCGTTCTACAAGGATAAATCAACATGTCTGACCCCATGACTCCGAACGGTTCGTATAACGCTGTAGATCGTCATATCATGGTAATTATAACGGTGGAACAATCCTGTGTCAGGAGTGTTGGATGTGGCACTGTACTCAGTTTCCTTGGTTTGGCCGCCTCCGCTGTCCATAGGATTGAGCCTCTTCTTGTGGTGTTGGAGCAGGAGGGTCACAGTCTGGAAAGTAATATATAATAAGTTTAAATTATAATTATATATAGCAAGGGTGATGCAGCGATGCATTTTTAAGAAAAACTATAAGTATTTGTCAGTGTCTCCAGGGATATATCTTCATGGCAGGGCCATGGTTTGCTGGGAGCTCAACCAGTAAACAGGTTGGATATGGGTGGGTGGAGCATTGTCTGGCGGGTTAGGATTGTGAAACGTGGGGTGGGGATGATATCGTGACAAAACATTTTCTTTGAAGGGGGAGACAAACAATTGTGATTGGATTCACAACACATTATCCGGCGTGTATTTTATCAACCCTTTACGCAATTTCTCTTCTCCCCAAATGTTTCGGCAACTATTATTTGTTTCTAAAAAAATATACACATGCGCACAGACAACTACACAGGCATACACGCACCTATGCACGCACGCACGCACACACACACACACGCACGCACGCACACACACACACACA